ATTGCTACTGTGTACAGCATCTATGCATTTTTTGCCACGTTATTAGATTTCTACTGTATGTCCAGAGCAGCGCTGCAAGAGGTAAAGCCGGCATTATATAGTATCTGCCCATCGTACTGAACGGCGCTACGTTCTATGCAGTCTGCCGCACACTCAAATTGCAAAACGCAAAAAGAGCCCGGCCCACTGCGATCCACGCAGCGGCGTGACGGTATTAAAACCGTGCATATGCCGTTAAAACCGGCAGAGCGCTAATGGACTTGCAGTCAGTCGCAGATCGTTAGCAATTTGGGAACATCACGTTGCCCACATTGGCTTGCAGGATGTGCACTTCCGGTCTGTACCAGACAAGCGATTAAAACTGCAATGTTGTCGTTTTGCAGTTTGCACGGTTTTCTCATATATAGTTATGTTAAAGCGCAGTTAAGCGGGTCGCTAAGCAAGCATTACGAGAATTAAAAACTTCAGAAAGTAGAATATTTGTCAGAAACAGTGTAAATACGCATAAACGTGTGGCAAATAAAACACGCCAAGTGGTCAATAAAATAGAAGAAAAAACTCGTGAAATTGTTTTCCGAATGTTGGGCCCGCCGCTAATCCGTTAATGTGTCCGCTTTCTCAAACACTGCGTTTCTTTTTGACACACACATCTAGTTATAATTTGTCATACACGCTAAATAGAGCTCGAAACAAGTACTGGATAACGGCGGCAAACAGCCAAACAACGGCACATCTCTGGGCAGCGCAGAAATCACGAGACTTGCGAGTAAGAGGCAGGGCCGGCGGGAATCACGCTACACAGCGTTTGCTTACAAACATGTTTTATCCACACAGCGATAGTTTACTGCAGTCCTGCACAGCTATAAATTTCACGACAGATTATCGATCGAATGGATCCGTAAGCGTTCATTCACTTGTGTGGGTTCCACGGTTATGTTGCCGGTGTTTTTTTATCTTGCTTTCACTAAGCGTTTGCAGGCCACGTTTCCTACAATCATACAAATCAAGACTTTCCTTTGCATCTCGCTCAGTGTTTTACGAAATAAAATTGTTTTAGCGGTCCGTAAGAATGCCGACACTAACTAACCTGCCAAATGACGCCGTCGAAGAAGATAGTAAATTGCTGCCTCTTCAGTCAAATGTAAAGGATGACGATGCAGCGCAGAATACGGTTACCCTGACGATCGACCTGCCCAAATCATCCACCTCCGTCAGTCAGCCAGCCAAGGCCTACGAGCTGACCAACGTCATCGCGGCCGTGGAGTTCGCTCCCGGAACGTATTGGGCCTGCAGCCGCGAAGGCTTACTGATGCTGTTCGGTACGGTGCTGATTGTGATCGGCAGTTGTTTGCTGCTTCGCAGTCTGTTTGTCATCGTCTTCATGGCGGAAATGGTCGTCGGCGGCACGATGCTGTTCTTTGGAGTCTGCGCATACTTTTGGACAGCCGCCTGCGCGGCTCCGGTGACGCAGTTGCAGCAGGCGCAGCCTATACGTGTGTTGCAAGAGCACCTGCAATCCATCTTGAAAAGTAAGTGCCACAAGATGCGCTTAAAACAGGCGTTGCTCGGATAAAAGACTCGCAGGATATGCACCGCTCATAAACACAATTTAAATAAGCACTTTTCCCAGTTGGCATTCCGGTTTGGAAGGCGCTCATTACTTTTCTACGCCAATGAGGCAGAATATCTTGATGTTATGCCGCCAAACTGCAAAAATCTGCCTTCTTTCACCAAAACGCATTAGATCACATTCAAACATCAAGAGTTTCGCAAGCAATCGGAACAGAGTAACGTTAATTTGTAACAGCAGCATAAATTTTCTTCTCGTCAAATACTGGGTTCATTCGCTCATCCAAAGTTATGAAACTCAAACCTACAGAGTATGACGAAAGCCAAAAGCAAAGGCAGCACCAGGCCGTCTCCGAACCCAATTGAAGCCGCGACGCACAGCCTTAAAATTCAACTGCTTCCTTCTCGAAGCGATCTTCTAACCTTGACGTTCACAAGTTATTCACTCCACCTTTTGCAGGTCCGCCCCAAATAACATGGTCCATGCAGTGCTACCACGAAGACGACGCCCAACTGACCGTCACTTACACCGCAGCCAACCACCCGCAAGTAGCCAAGAACAAGATCATCACCTGGTCCGGAACCCAGTCCTTCGCCTTCAAATCCTGGCAGGATGTGTCGCACCCCGTGCAATTGGCGCGCCTTGGCTCATTCCAAGCGCTGACCTTTCATAAATCTTTCGTCTTTGCTGATGAAGCGACAAGAGCGGCGTTCACCGCACAAAAAGAGGCTTTCATCAACGCCAACAAGCACCGGGATAAGCTGTTCACCGTGGAGGAAACATTTGAAGTGGCCGGGTTTAAGGAGACCATGCTGGCTGATGCAGGAGGATGCAGCGGCAGTCTGTGCGTGTATGTCATGATGGCGTTGCTGCTGCTGGCCTATCCGTGGTCCTGTCTTGTGAAATCAGGAGAACGGCGGGTGGACTACCGTCTGGTGAAGATGCTGTCCACCACTCATGACCGCATTAAAATTGCGCCGGTGATAATACCGGTTATTGAAGAGTACGTGGGAGAAACCGAAGATTACTGAATTGAATTTGCTATCCAATCTCCCAGCTCATTCATAGAAACAGAAGTCATAGAAACAGTTTATGGTGTCTGTGGCATGTGCACAGTGTATTAATTATTCCTGTTTTGCTGTTATCCAACATCAGTGATTGTCCGAAGTTTTACTTTTTGGAGAGTAGGGCTTTTCTGGTATACACCCAGATATGTACCGGTGAGATGTTGCGTTGGATCAGAATTATTATGAATTATTGTGAATTTGAGTTTCTGATTACTGTCTGTGGTGAAATCTCTTTGCAGAATATGTGGATCCGGCACCTTCTCAGTATTTATGCGCTGGTTTTGATATGGTTCGGACAAACCGAATAATGCTCTCTGGTTAAGTTATTTGTACCGTCCGTAGACTGGCGTAGTGTAATAAAACACGCAATTTTAAAGTCCTGCGAAGTGCAAACCATGAACTCAGATGTACAGGAATTTGTTCGTGAAAACTGTAGCCTCACGAAAGAAGAAGACGAAGAGCGACCGATTAAACCTGGTACAGCTAACAAAACGAAAAAGCTGAATCCTCTACTATGAAGTGTGCTTCTGGAGTAGGTAAAAGGCCTAAACTACGGTCAAATTCTTATGCGTCTACTGCGAAGCGTTATCCGCGTGGCAGTAATCAGCACTTGACGAAGTACTCTACATTTCTGCTTCCATACGTAAACCTTTTAGCAATATATCGTGTATGCAAGAAAACACAAAACCGTCTGCTCAACTGTACACAAACCACGAAGTTATGTAAATGCTTGGATCAATCAGATTGTTGTAATTGTACTGTTGTAGTTAATTGTTATAGCAGTACTTGTACAAGTAGTATCCTTTTGTCGTGCATAAATAATTGTATTAAGAAATTTGACTACCGAGTCAAAAAACAGAACCCGTGGACCTTTGTGGTGGTAACTGGTAACGGTAGGTAAATATTATTTTAATGACTGCAAACATTAAGCGGATTTATTGACTCGGATAACGGTTAAATCAGCAACTCAAGCTCGATTGCAGGAATGGGACTGTACACTAGCACCTCCTTGACCAAGTACACCGGATTTGCGTTCGGCATCGTCTTCATCGTCAGCGGTATTCTGGCCCTGGTCGCCGCCGGCGCTATCCGACAATCCAAGAGAAAGGCCCCTTGCTTTATTAGCACAAGCCAGTTAGAATACATGAATTGGCAACAGATAGAGAATTACAATAACAAAATTTCTTCTAATTTATCCGCGCCTTCCATTGTCCCCAGCACGGAAGCCGCGTTGCCTCGCTGTATTTCGATCGACAGACGTTCGATCGACCCCGTGCTTGACCATTACGGCCCTGGTGCTGGGCGTCCTTAGCAGTTTGCTGGCTTTCGGCATCCTGATCTGATATAGCCTCCTTGCCGACGCCTATCGCAGGCTATCTGGAATTTTAATCGTGATGAGTCCAGCCGCCATCGAATTACAAATTACAAAACTGGAAAAGCATAGCGATTTGGTTAATTGGTATTTTATCATTTTGGTAGTAATGCAAATTTTCAGTTTCTGCGAACTACAGAATATACAGAAGTACGTGTAAACCAAGTAACACTGCATGATAAATTCACACCTATAGGCTACGGCATGGTTCACGTTAAGTTTTCTTTTCCGAGCATGTGTTTTAACTTGTATCAACAGTATCCCACACTCCCCCAAATTTACTACTTTTTATAATCAATGCCTGTCCCATCGTGTCTCTGGTGTTGGTTAGCAATCCAACCACAACAAGAAACGGTTCACCAAAAACGTTTCGGGTCCATGATGCCGCAGATTGCAGGTAAATTTTATAAATGATGACGTTAACGAGGATGTTGTACACAGTGAGACGTGGTGTAATGTTGATAAGTCGTCAAAACAATGGGCACTCGAGGAACAGATTTGCAGATGCCGCAGATACAAAAACAGTTAAAAGTAGCACGTGATACAGATTACAGACAAAGTTGTGAAAGCGACATCTGCAGAGCCTGTGAATCCATCGGTAGAAGTCCTTCCGTCAACTATTATGAAGCGATGTGAGCGAATGTTGTAAATACGCAGGTTTTAATGACGCGATCCTGGGAGGAGATGCAAAGACTTCATTGTCTCCTTTCCTTTATTCTTTAAAGCCTTGTATTCTTGTTTTGCCCGCTTTTGTAGACTGTTTGGCTTCTTCGAGAAATTGCATTCTGCTCCATGCAGAGTTTCGCGGTATCTGCTGCGATCTAACTCGTTTGTATTTTCGAAGCGCACCATATCACGGAAATTTTGTCCGAAATTCTTCAGTGCATACAACTGTTCGATTTCTTTGCGCATACCTTCCGCAGTGATATCAGCGTCGGTTGCACCCTGAGACCTTGCTCTCTCCATTAAATCTCTTTCTTCCTTGTAGCTTTCCCGCATTCTTTTGCATGCTGCCAAACGTTTCCGGTCAGAATCGGTAGCTCCATCTTTCAGGAGACCGAGAGACTGCTCTGCCTTTTTGATTAAGAAATCTAAATAATCCTCAAGGGCATCATTATAAGGAACCATAGATTTGGCCTTTAAGAAGCACGCAAACTTGGATGAGGCCCGGGTGATGATTTTTTTTTCGCGTAAGAGCTCTTTCTCTGCTTCTTCAAGTCGTTTTAAAGTCTCCTCGGCCGCTCGGATAATTCCACTCTGCGCATCTAGCAACGAACGCACCGAAACATCCACCACTTTTTCGTCTTTTTTGAAACACTCGTAATGAATATGCATGTGCTCCTTATAATTACAGCCGCAACGGGAGCAGTTTTGGGTAAACCATCTCATAGCATTGCACCGTCGGAGTTTATCTTGCGTCGCCACCTCGGGTGGTACCTCCTTCAGCGTGCAGTTTTCATGACAAACTGTTTTATAGTTGATCTTCGTTTCACCGTTTTCGTCGCGGAGTACCTCAATGCATTTTGCCGCAGCGCAGACAGTCCTTGGAACTGAGCTTGATTTTACATGTAGGCGCTGCACTGGGACGTATAAATCTTTTTCTAATACGGTTTTGTCGGCAATTTGGCGTTGTAAATCTTCTCTTTTTGATTTAATCAGTTCCACATTGTTTTCGAGGAGCGTTGAGATTTTCCCTAAGGGTTCCGTAAACTGCAAAACAAGGCGGCGAGCTTCGTTTAAAGTTACAGTATTGCGGGTGTTATGGGGCGGAAGCGAGAAGATATGGTCCAAAAGCCTTCTTGTTTCTCCCACGGATGTTTTCCAGCTTTCTGCAAAATCCTCTTCCTCTTTTTCCGTAAAAGAAATGCCGTTCTCGGCTGCCGCCAGAAATCGTACTGCTTCGTTGTCCATGCAGTACATCGTATGTAGCGATAAATGGATGCTCAAGTCAGGCTTATTCTGCAAGAGGGTCTTTAATGGCGGGAGGGTATCTCCCGGCAAATACGAAGTCGATCGGCTGTTCGTGAACACAAATATAATATTTTCAGCTGCATCTTTATGGAGGTGCGTCAGCAGCTCGTTTATACAGAACTGGAAGGTAACCGTCAGCCTGGAATTATTGGGTTTGAGGAGAATGCAAATTCCATGTATTTCAGATAAAAACGCAATATGGCCCAACACTTTTCCGAAATTAAGACGATCCTGCTCATAGCCTCGTGTATCTCCCACTCCAGGAGTGTCAATAAGCCTAATGATACCATCACCGTAAGGAAATGCAAACGATCGCGGTTCCTGAGTAACGGAACTTCCATCCACGCCAACGTTCTCTGCGACAAACTCGTCTTCGGTGCCTGTGTTGCCGATGTTCGCTTCCATTCGTACTTTGGTCTGATCGAAATTTGAACTGGTTTTCATGAATTCGAATGGAATCCAACATTTAAGCTTGCCTTTTTTGGCATCTCCAAGTTCACCGTACGTAAGATAATTTATAATTCCATTGATCCAAGTAGATTTGCCGACCCCGGTTTCACCTGCAAATCATCATGGATTAACGAGCTGTTCGGTGAATTGTGACAAAAATCTATTATACGAATTTAGGTAAATCAGTTTTCCCAAATCAGTATATGTGTGATATAAACTGATTGATTGTATTTTTATGAGTGAAGTTCATGTATGGGCATATGCATTGTAAAGGTTGAGATAAACTTTTAGTCCGAATTCGATAATTCGAATTTCTATCGCTACGGTACGTTCTGCAGATAGATTATAAGTATTACACACTTTAAGAAATGATTTTTTGCGGTAACACCGTAACGGCATGATCTGTACAATACATTACTCCCGTTTAGCTAGCTTAAAAGCAAAAAACACATTCTCGTTGTCAACCATGTCGTTAAACGTTCCAAGAACAGAGACAGCGTTTCCCCGTTGTATCTCAATACTGATTTTCTGGCGCAAAAACTCTCCTGACCGAGGATTACCAGTACAATCGCTGATCTTTCGCGACAGCTCCTTGAAGAATTTCTTTGTGAGTGGTCCAAATGTGCCCGTGGTTTCGAACGCGATCGGCTGTACTACATATCGGTCTGCAAGTCCATCGTACTTTCCTAGCTTATGGTTTTCGCGTGCTTCCGCTGCACTTCCCGGCACCCGTGACGTCCGGGCGATGTACGTTTGAGCGAACGTGTCTGCCACTGTCACATCCCATACTAACGGTTTTCCATTTTTCCAAGGGAAAACGGTAACTCCGTCTGGTCTTTTGCCATCTCCTCTGTCCAGTCCCGGCGGCTCGAGGGACGATGGCATTCGTGCAGAGTTCAAGGCTCGCTTTGTCACGTCATTCAACACGGCGTGAACGCCATGCCTTCCTTTCGCTAACTTGCAAACCAAGCCATGGTGTCCCAGGCTGTCCACTACGTTACCGCAACGGCATACATGCTGTTCGCAGACCGGGGCTCCCAACCGTCGCGCAACGGCTATGCGTAAGTGGGCATCTTCCAACAGGTTTCCGAAGAGGGATACTGGCAATGCTGACAACCAGGCGCGCGACTCCGATGAGGATGCAGCCAACAGGCGGGCAGAGGTAATTACGTCGGCGTTCTCCATCATGCGGGATGCTGTCTGGGTGTGCTGTGGCGTAGTCCATGCGGACTGAAACCGGCGACTTTCTGTGCGAGGGGGTTCGGTGGAAAAGCGAGATGTCCACACTTCTATCAGGCGGTTACACCGATCCTTGATGGATTCATTGCGGGTAACATTACACACCATGTCGACAGCACCATGGACTGATGAGGTGTAAGCAGCTAGCGCCACTTCTGTTGCGCTGATCAACCCTAAGCCTCCAAATTTCGTGGGTAACGATGCTTGGTTCCATACTGTGTCCGACATTGCAACATTGGTCAGCTGTTCCGCTTTAAATCGGATGACATCGTCGAATTTCCGTAATTCTTCAGGATACTGCCAGCAGGGAGAAGTTCTAAGAATATATAACAATTTCGGCAGCGACAAGCAATTCTTTAACAAGAAAAACGCCTGATGTGAAGGCAATATACCGAGCTGGTCGGCAAGCACTTGTGCTTGACCGACCTTCCTCATCAACGCGCCCGCAATCGCTTCGCTCAGCAAGGGTGAGCCTAACAGTTCCAGTTCCTCCGGTTTAGAAATGCGAATGTCCGGTACCGCGTTTAGGAATAACTGGGCTACGTTTTCACGCTCTGCAGGTGTTCCGCCGTCCACGAATAATTCACACTTTGCCGTGTTTAGTCTTAAGCCCACTGCGGCGGCTGCTTCTTGGAGATTTACCATATCGTCTTTAACAACTTGAGGGTCTCCAGCAGACACACCGTCATCCAAAAACCACAGGTTAGTTTCGGCTTTAATCTGGGAACAAACATCTTGTGTTAGTAAACCATAGAACATTGGTGCACAAGGATCGCCCTGCTGGACACCGCTAGCGGAAGGTATGGTGACACCACTGGCTTATAAGTTATATATACAGATTACATTATACGAATTTCTATCTGTACGTTTTACATTGAGAGAATAACTTGCCTTATATGTTATAGAAGCTTTGTACTGTTCTTACTGTTAACTACAGGCGTAGTAATAAATTTCAAAGGCAAAAATTAGTACACAATGCTTTTTTAAACAGTCTATAAATTCGTATACGAGGAGATGGCGAGGGCTTCTTTCAGCACCCTTGCACTTGTTGTCGTCACCCGGTTGGACTATGACGCTGCGACAGCAGACGTAGTTAAATAAGGCGCGGTACATAAACGCCTTGTTTAGCCACAACGTAAAACACCAGCCGGGTGACGGCAGCAAGTACAGGGAGTGCTGAACAACGCCCTTGTCATGCCCTCGAATGTACTCGTAGTCGAGTTTGATTTCACCATAATTTTACAGTACGCCGTACCGAGAATTAGAATGTTAGTTTCTTTCATCGTCCGTAAACGACTTAAATGCTCCCTCAGATAGCTCTCGTGATCAGGCAAAAAGGATCTCGCGTTGGGGCCGTGAACCATTTGATCGCACCGAAATGCGAAGTCCTTGGCGCCCGCTTTTCCGCATGAGCAATATAGGTGATCGTCAAAGCCGTATTCCAAATGACCTTTGCATCTCTCGCAAATCCATCTCCGAATGTGGTTTAAGCACCGTCCCGGACGAACCGAGTTGGGACAGGGAAGTTCTACAAGGCAGCGCTTGTTGGGCTTCCGACTTGGCTCAATATAAGCGGCCCTTGCGATGCATTCTCTTGTTAAATGGTTTTCCTCAGCTACAAGGTTGGTAATCGCGCAGACTGATCCCCGGTAAAGCGCAACCGTTGGTTCATCGGGCCACAGCTTATCCAGATATGTGTCACAATCTACACATATAAATAATGTGTCCTTATCCTTTTCTTCATCGAGATATCGGTGAAACACGTCCCATGAACGACCCCACTCATGACGACTTCCAAATCGAAAAACCTCACGATAATACAGCACATACACGTCCTTTCTGGCTCCTTTTTCCATTAACACATCTGTTAGTGACTCTTTGTGACCGACAATTGTCACCCCTTCGTGCTGTAAAAAATCCATTATCGACATTTTTTGTTTCAAAAACTCAAATTTGGAAATGAAAAATGATATGGCAGACGGGGACTGCGCTCCTTCTTCGAAAGACTTTCGTAATTCTTCCAGCTGTTCGACCGGCTGCTCTCCCAAACGCACACTGACTAGAGTTGACTTGATATCCGACTTCAGTTTCTGTTCGGCCGCCAGCAGCTCCTTTCGTCGTTGAACGGTGGCATGATAGTACACCATGTCAATACACTGCTTATGAGCGGCGATTTCTCGAATCAGCTGGGATAGTTGCTGTCGACTGCTAGATATCTCGTCGAGTAAATCAATAAGAGCCGACACAGAACCATCGTCAATTTCGCGGACCAAACGACTCTTCTCAGCAGTAACGCCCAGTACTTGGCAACAGATATGTACTGGCACTAGCGTGTATGACACGGGCACTCCTTTACCATCGTTAACACTCTTCGCTAGTGCAGGTAGCGTTTGCATAAAGGTTTGTATAGATTCCAATGAAACTGCAACATCCGCCGGAAAGTCAACATCACCATACATCTAGAAATCAAACCATGGTCACCGCTGGGTTGTAGTTAACTAGCCGAAAAATATAGCTGTTTGAATTTTGTATAAATTTCGAGTAATCAACTTAGTAGATTGTTTTGTAGTTCGTATCGTAACAGTATACATTAGTTTTCACGTCGCTGGATCATGTACAAATACGTTCACAACTTCACATATGTACATGCACATTTTTCCGTGTATTCGACGCCCACACTTAGCACTCATAATATAAGCTTTCGACACTTATACCTTAAAGGAAACTGTTTTGATGTCCCGAAAATTCGACTTGTCTAGTTCTATATTTCCACCGGCACCGATCGATTTTTTCAATCCAGTTACCATGCCTTCCAACTGGCCTTCCACGTCCTTTACGTTTTCATTTTTTGACACAACTGTTTCAAGAGTAACTGCAGCGTAGGCTCCCCAACCCACTTTCGCAACGATATGGGTAGCTTGCGGGGATAACATAGCTCTCTCCGAAATAACATCCTTCAGCGCAGTGTGGGATAAATTCAGTGACTCTTCTACAGTTCGGATTTGGAAGAGGAGTGTCGCTTTTGCTGTTTGCGAAGTTTGTTTTTCTTCGTACAGAAATTTTCCACAACCGCTAACGGATACCAGATTACATGCCACTCCAAGCTTTAGGTCACCACGAATGTCGAATTTATCAAATTTTTCTTCCAGCGTATCGGAGATGACAATTTCGATATCGGAATGTGTTGTGGACGTTATGTTCCTACAAGGTGACGGTATGACATCCTTCATGATGCTAATTCCCAAGAATGTACCATGGTAGGCGTCATAAAGTTCGGCGAGACCGGCTGCTCGGCCAAGTGATGGACGAATCCATGTGGTGCTGTTCCCTGTTCCTAGAAATAACAACTTCAGATTAAACGTGTTTGATGCTCAGCGCCGGAGTGAGCGGTCTGTGCTTCTACATACGATTGCAGAATTAAATCGAATAGTGGACACTGGACATGCACATTTGTGGACATGCACAGAATAAGTAAAGTGGAGCCGCAAAAAAAGCGTGGTTAATAATAATAATGATTATGACAGTACTACTGTAGTCCATTTCTATACCGTCGGTACATTGCACTATAAAAAACATCGTCATGCAGTGCGTTATTCTATGACCATTGACTCTGCTCCGTCACACCCCTCCTTTAAGGGGAGGGCTATGAGATGAAAGTCGGTTTCCCATTCTACAGGGTCTTTTATTTTATTATGAATTATAAAGATCTTTTTTGAATACTTTTTAATATCGAATACTGCTATGCACTGGGTTCGGGTGGCGACCCGTCGACCACACATTTTCTAAATATCGTTTCCATACAAAAAAGTGAAAAGCCAAAATTTTTCCTGTTTGGTTCTGTTTTGCTATCCTGGAACATGCGCATTCACCTTTTCTTTGTCAGTCGGCCTCCAAGTCAAACAGCGTGATAGTTCATATTTGCGGTTTCACAACTCTAATTAGGTCTACGCTAATTACAACCGACTTTACTAGTGCTGACTTTTATGAACTGCTTATTCGGGCTAACACTATAATAAATTGTACCAAGAAACTAAGAAAAATCGGAGCTCACAAGTCATTGCAGAGGATATTATTGTATTTCAGAAATTCCAAAGTGCGAGATAGCGCTAAACTACTGATTGCAAGCAAATTACCCGTACTTCTAGTGCGAGAAATCACTAATTTGTTTACAGTTTTCTACGTATATGTACTGTATTTTTTATTCCGATTTCGAGAAAGAACAGCAACATCGACATGATAATAATACAGTACACCCACACTGTTTTGTTCCTGTATGGTATTTGCAAACCAAAAAATAAAGCAAAATGATTCAAAATGAAATAATGAACTTCATATTAATTTTCTTATTCAGCGGAACAGATGTCTAAGTGCTCGAAACAACTTAATCTAACACCACAAACTGCAAACAGGAAGAAAGTTTAATTAGAAAAAGTTAAGAAAAACAGGAGTAAAGTTTACTTTGTTCAAAAGCAAACAATGCCAACCGCTAAAGCTAACCGTATACACGCAACAAACCGTACGAGAACGTCTGAAGTATAGTTCCGTATACTGAATCATCTCTAAGGTATTTAGCTTTGCTGATAGGAACAGACAACGTGCGGCTTGCTCCAAACAAACGGTAGCGAGCGTATTCTTATTTGTACAACTGAAGTAAAGATTTCTGATTTGTGGTGTACACACTCTGAAAACAGAAACGGAAAAACGGAGAACAAATTTTTAATCTACAAAATTAATTGTTCGTTTGTTTATTACAATCAGTTTATGCATTACGTAAAAAATTTAAAATTACGCGTTACATAATTCTTCTGATCAAAGCATCGTTGCGTTGTAGACCACGCTACGACGTTTTGGTAGGTCTTTCCAAATTATTTGTATCTTGGACCATAGTTGTACCGGGACCGGAACCTGTGCAACTATTTCAACTGAATTTTTTGAAAACGAACAAATTTGACGAAGTTGCGGGTGTTATTGTTGACTGATTTCAGTCCTTTCGATGTCTCATACTTATACAGGACGCGCCGACTGCCGAATCCACTGAGCGGTCTTAAGCACTTTATGTTGTATGGTTCTTCCTGCCGTACCATCAGGCCTAAACTCTATGCTCCCATGTCACCATAACCGAAAATTGAACGTGCTGCGTTTCTTAACAATAAAGCAGGCTTGCTGCTTCGACATGGGTTTGTAGGTTCGACTGTATAAATTCGGGTGTTTACTTTATCCAGATTCTATACGGTGGACGATCACGTTACTGATTCGTACGCGTTGTCTCAATGAAAATTAATATAATAATTTTAACTACTTAATATACTGTAGCTTATGGAAAAATCGATAATTAATATACGTAGCTTATTTAAGCATTTTAATACAAATATCTGTATTTGTGAATAATGATAATTATCATATAAATTGTACATTCAGGATGTGCACGGTATGCAATAATTATGTGATATAGTAGAAACGTGAAAAGAAACACACAAAAAATTAAAAGGCCATTCGGTATTTCGGAAATAAATAGTAACAGTTAATTTTTTATGTTGCTGCATATTTTACTGATACGTTGCACGTACCGCCATTTATCCGGCTTGCATTTTCGGTCACTTCGATTTTTTGTTCCGGAAGAACAGACAGCATTTCCGTTATTAAAGCTCAGAAAATTTGCGCAAAAAACGCATTTATCAAGTGCACGAGAATTATCTCAAACTGCGAAGTACTTATGAAATAGCTAAAACATTAATAAGAACGGCTCGACTAAGTTGTCGGTAAGTAGTAAGAACGTACTGCGTAGCAAGGTGGCGCAAACGGGTTTCAGCATTTGTTTGTGCCATGCAGTTACCTCAACATTCATCTTAGGCCAACCCATATTAGTCGCAGCAGTGTTTGGTTTAAACTTTGAAAGTTTGGTCTTTGGTGAGATATGTGATGACCCGATTTGAACAGGTGAACGGATACTGATAAATTGTCGGCGTCGTTGTTTGCTTGTCACTGCCGGATGTTTGCGAATGAAATGAATTATACTGC